ATTATCAGTGTTTTGGGGTTCCTCCCTGTCTTCCTCCCTCCCTCCTCCTTTTTTCTCTCCTTCCTCCAAAGTCAAGCACAGAACCCAAGGTTCTTGTAAATGCTATCCTATACTATTTCAACAAAGAGATGTTTTTAATCAATTATGTATATTAAAGAACATCACAAAACCATTAAGAGCACACTATGTGGGAGGAGAGGGAACTAAAAAAAAATCTGCTTCTCACTGATAATTTAGTCATTACAAAGACTGATAGAGTGAGTAGTGGTAAAAGTATGAATATTATACTCATTATTTGATGATTTGTTGAAATTATTCCATCTGGACCTTGTTACTCTATTAATCTTACAAAATTGTTTGTGTAATATCACAAATTATCTTTTTTTTTGGGGGGGGAGCTAGGCAATGGGGTTAAGTGACTTGCCCAGGGTCACACAGCTAATGTTATGTGCCTGAGGCCGGATTTGAACTCTGGTCCTCCTGAATCCAGGGCTGGTGTTCTATCCACTGCACCACGTAGCTGCCCCTTATCAGAAGTTATCTTAAAGGAATAAAGCATAGTTTTTTTGTTCTAGACATTACTGAGTACTTGATATGTTTTAAAACTTCAGTTTGGGAAGTAGAAAAATAATTTGGTTGCTGGGTTAACTTATAGCACTTTGAAATTATAGCATATCAGTAATAGCATACTGAAATCAATAAGTATATGCATGTATGTGTATGTATGCATATGTATGTACATATACACAGAAGTACACAGTGTTTTTCCAGAATTTCTTTCCATGATTAAAACTAGTCGTTAAGTGACTGCATAAGTCTTTTTGAAAATTTGTTGTGTAAAATTAAAAGCCAGACATTTGACTAGGTCTTAACACATAGAGAATCTGAAGAAAATATATTTAATGAACCTCAAGAGGTAAGGGCTATGATCACCAAACATCCTTTGTTCCTCCTGTTGTGAATTTACCAACCATGAATTTATATAAATCATTAACCCATTTGTAATTACAGCCTCCCTACTTTTAAGTAAGACAAGTTCACAGATTGACCAAACATATGTTTTAAGTAGTAGTACTTTTATTTGTCCGAAGTTTACTTCATTTTAGCTTTTGGTACAAGTTCATCCTGCAGTTACAATCAGAATTAGATTATTCATGTGATAGCTTGATCACGCTAAATACCACTGAAGGGGGAGGGAAATAAAATATTAATAAGAAACTGTTTCTACTTCTCCATTAGGAGATTTTCACTGATCCCTGCCTTTTGTTTTATGTGTCTAATTTTCTATACATAATAAAACTTGGCAGCTGTTCCCCTTGTCTCTCTCAATCCCTTGGTCAGACAGTTTTTTTAAAAAAAACCTTACTTTGATAAACTGTTTTTACATCATTTACGTTTCTCAATATATCCTCCCTCTCTAACCCAGAAGGCAGTCTCCCTTAAAACAAAGAATGGAGAAAGGTAAAAAAAAAAAGCAGCTCAGCAAATTACAAATAATCAAGTTCAACAGGATATGCAGTGTTCCACCTCCATAGTTCCCCATCTTGGCAAAGAGAGTGGAGAGGTACATTCTTATATTTCTATTTTGGTGTCAAGTTTGGTCATTATAATTTCATAGTATTTGGTTTTACTTTAATTGTATTGTCACTGTATATATTGTTTGCTTGTTTTGCTTTCTTCATTTTGTATCAGTTCTTTGCCTCTCCATCCTCTTATTCATCATTTCTTATAGTACTATAAAATTCCAGTATACTCTTTTTTTTCCTTCTTTTTTGGTGAGGCAATCAGGGGTAAGTGACTTGCCCAGGGTGTCTGAGGCTGAGTTTGAACTCAGATCCTTCTGACTCCAAGGCCAGAACTCTATCCATTGCGCCACCTAGCTGCCCCTCTAGTATATTCTTGAGCCATAATTTGTTTAGCCATTCCCCAGGTGTTTACAGTTCTATGCTACCACAAAAAGTCTTGCTGTAAGTATTTTGGTGTATATGGGATCTTTCTTTCTGTGCTTGACCTCCTTGGGGTATATGGCATGCAATGAGATCTGGAGTAAAGGGTATAGACTTTTTAGTCAAATTCCGAATTGCTTCTAGAATGATTGGACCAATTCCATCATTAGACATTAGTATGCCTGCCTTCCCTCAGTCCTTCCAACATTAATTACTCTTTTATCAACTTTGCCAATTTACTGGGTGTGATGGCCAACCTCAGAGTTTTGTTTTGATTTATATTTCTCTTAATTGTTTGAAGTATTCTTTCATTTTATTGTTGTTTGCAGTTTTAAAAAGGAGATGTTTATTTTTTGACCACTTACCCTCTGGGGAATAACTTTGGTTTGTTTATTTGTATTAGATCCTGATTAGTACAAATAATGAACCTCCTGAAGTGGTTGCATGTATTTGAAGTAGTGATTCTGTAAAGTAGAAATACTGGTTTCAGCCCAGTAGTAATATCCATTATGAATTTGTAATTTGAATTTGAAGCATGGACCTGGGGTCAGGAAGACCTGAGTTCAATATGGTCTCAAACACTAGCTGTGTGACCCTGGACAAGTTACTTAACTCTGTTTGCCTCAATTTTCTGATCTCTAAAATGAGCTAGAGAAGGAAATGACAAACCACTCCAGTATTTTTGCCAAGAAAACCGCAAATGGGTCATGAAGATTGGACACAATTGAAACTACTGAATAACAACACAAATTAAGGCAAATACATTATTCACACTAATTGGGACCTAATTGCAGTTCTTTATATATTTTGGATCTCATACCCTTATCAGAGATATCTGAAGCAAAGACGTTGAAGGCACAGGTGTGCAGGAAATAGATTTATTATTCCCTATTTGTGAGTTACATTATGGTTCACTTGCTTTTCTTTGCAAATTCACTGAAATTTTCCAATTAAGACACTGTTACAGTAAAGTAACAGCATTTCTCTAGAACAGGAGGAAATAATAGAAAGGGAAGTCCCCTTCGAATTACTAAACTGAATGGTTTTTTTTTTGTTTATTTGTTTGTTTAGGGTATCTGTATAGATAAAACTACTTTAGTATTGATTCCTTTGTAGAAATCCAGCCAGTAATTCAAAGTTAGATTAAAGTTTTGTTAAGGAAATGAATGCCTAGTGTGTGCTAAGTACTGTTCTAGGCATTGGGAATTTAAAGATAAAAAACAACACAAATCTTGCCCTCAGGGAGCTTATTATTCTCTGGTAACAAGGGATAACATATATCCAAATAACTGTAATTCAAAAGGGGGGTTAACTACATAAGAGAGATAAGAAGAAAAAGATTAAAGATTGGGGAGTAGAGATCACTTCCTAGGGAAACAGATAAGACTTCATTGAAGATAGGATGCGTACATGCACCTGGGTCTTGAAGAAATAAAATAATTTTTTAATTAATTAAGTTAAGAAGGGAATCCATTTTAGAGATGAGTGTTTGGAGACACTAGAAGGTCAAGGCAAGATATGTATAATGGACTGTAGTCTTGACTGAAAGTTTCATTGAAATGGGGTTTTATAGGATAATTCTAACTTTTAACTGTTCTGAGTTTTTAAAAACTTATTTCCTCCAGAAATTAGGTGTGATTCTGAAGGGCTTTCTGAGTCATTAGGTATGCTTTCAGAATATTTTTGAGCTAGTTTCTTAATAGAGGGGGGGAAAAATCATTCATTCATAAAATAAGATTAGATACTTGGAGATTAATTTTACAGACAGCTTTTTAGAAACACATTAATTAAAGATGCATAAAGCAATATATGCTATGTACACCACTCAAAGGACAGTGTATATTTCTTATTCTCCTATTAGTCTTTTATAGTACCCATCTCATAAGAATCTTATGAAGATACTTTTGTAGCAGTTTGCCGTTACTGGAGGGGGGAAAAACATACTATAAACATGGTATTGACTAAGGATTTTTAAGATAGAGCATACCTTGGGTACTGGTACATAAGATTGGCTATAAGTAGTAATGTAGCCTTACTAAATTTATCTGGGATGGTCAAAACTTTTAGAATTATGAAAGATTTAAATATTAAAAGGACTTTTGCACATATGTTTTAGGGACTAAAATATATTTTTGGAAGGGTTGTGAAAAAAAGTTTTAAAAAAAAAAACACTGAAAAGCCTGAAATCAAACACTAAAAAAAGAAAGTTATTTCCCTCTATGTAGCAGAACACAAAGAAGAGTCTGTAGGAAATTGTTTCATACCACATTAAAAAAAAACCCAAAACATGTGGAAAACAAACTCTATACATGACTTTCAAAATGACCTACTTGTGTGCTTTTCTTCTGTTCTCTTCTGTGCATTAAAAAAAATGTTACCAGGACCCTCTTTTTAGGGGGGAGTGGGTATATCACTATTGTTAATTTCTCCCATCCCCTCTCAGAGAGAAAGGGATTCTCTCGCTGGGTTCTTGGGCTGACCTCCATATTCTGTGGTTCGTTCCGTCTGAATCTTTGAAAAATATAGCTCTGGATCTTCAGAGCCTTGTCTGGGATCTAAGGACAATGTATTAGGGACCTCAGAACCCTTGGATACCTAAGTTGTCCCAGTCCGAGTTCTGGGACATTAAGTTGGTCACCAATTGCTGCTACTCCCAAGGGCTTCCAAGATCCTCATCCTAGGGCTTTGCCCTCTACTCTTAGGGTTTCTAGACGCAGAGCGTTGCCAGGCTACAGGTGTCCTCTCTCACTGTCCTGTACACAGTGGTGCTTAACTGGCTGGAGGGGGCTCCCTTTCATATGCCCCTTAGGGTTTTGGCTGACTTTATGCAATTCTGGGGTAGAACATGTCACTGTAGTTTTTTATCGGATTTCTTCGTTATTTGATTTGATCAACCAAATTTAATGTTAAGCTTTCTAGAGTAGGTATGTGGGAAAACTGGACAGTCCAGCAGCCATCTTGATGGGAACTCTAAAATATGTATTTGAACCCTCAAATGTTTATTTCTTTAATATTGCTGTAGATCTGTTCTAATTATGTATAATTTTTATTCAGGTTTTGACTGGATCTCGTCAAAATTATTCTTCTGGCTTCCATGATTTCAATAGATGGGAATCTTTATTGAAAATTAAAGAAGGATTGTTAAGGCAGAAGGAAATTGTAATTGACAGGTCAGTATATATTTGAATTTTCATGTTACGCTAAATCTGAAGTGTCCCTTCAGTAGGTTCTTGATAAGATTATTGTATTGTCTGACTTGTATTATAAATTAGATGTGTACCTATCTCATCCATATGTTAGCTTGTAAAGCTGCTTGATGGCAAAGATTATGCCAGTTTTTATCTATGTACTTTTAGCGCCTTGTTTTATATGTTGTCAGTGGCATATAAAATGTATACTGAATTGAGTTTTTTTCCTCCGACAATTCTAAGTAGTAGTATACTTGTTAAATTTTCCATTTACAAACTTAAGTCTGTGATCTTATCAACATGTACATTATCTGTAGTGGTATAGATTGCATTCATTTATAGCTTTTCAGTCTTTATAACTTTTGCCCATGTTCCCTCCAAAAACAAAGACAAATAACTACCACAAGTGATCCACTCCTTATGCTAGGTGCTTTGTTTTAGATGGTTTTGTAGATACCAACAAAGCATCATGGTTGCTTACAAATTGTGCTTTGCTCTTGCTTTATGACAAACAGGTGTCTTTTTCTGGTTGTGCATCTCTCTGGTAACATCCTTTGTACTGTTTCTCTGGCACAGTTCTTCATTGGTGATATGTTACATCATGCTTATACATATCCCTGTTGGCCTTTGGTTGGCCAGTAATGTTAATTCTTTAGATAAAGTGATATTCATAACACAAAGCCGTATATCACCGGATGAATATTCATGTCCAAATGACAGGTCTTGTTTCAGAGAGAAGCTTAGAGTCCTTATAGATGCCACATAGTTCCTCCCTCCCCCAAATAAAATAAACAAACAGCAGCAGTAACAACAATACTCACACCCATAATCTAGCTTTCTTTTCCCTTCCAAGCGTGGTACCTGTAACATTTTTATTGTTGCTCAGCAGTTTCAGTCATTTCAGACTCTCCATGATCCCATTTGTTTTTTGGGTTTTTTTTTTTGGCAGAGATACTGAAGTGGTTTTCCTTTTCCTTCTCTAGCTCAATTCATAAATGAGGAACTGAGACAAACAAGGTTAAGTGACTTGCCCAGGGTCACACAGTGTGTAAGTGTCTGAGACCAGATTTGAACTCTGGAAGATGAGTGTTCTTGGTTCCGAGGCCAGTGCTCTATCCAGTGTGCCACCTAGCTACCCCTACCCTCAACATAGTAAATACTTAATAAATGCTTGTTTCCTGACTGAATCTTCCTCTTCTGTTTTAACTTGTTGTTCATCCATGTGTTCAACATCATCCCTCTCCCCACCCTCCCCACGGCCCTTTCTTTTTTCGCTTAGTGAGGTCTGGCCTATCCATTTAACTACATATTATTATTTGGATAAAACACAAAAACACGTTATTTTTCCATTCAGTTTCTCCTTTGCAGATATTTAATCCACACTGTTTGAGTAATTATGGATCTCAGTTTGAAGGTTCTATGAAGTTTCAGGTTTTGACACAGTAAAATGTTATCTGCAAATTTGTGATATATAGGAAATAAATCTTCCGTTTAGATTCTATATTGGACATCTTCCATGACAGTGACAGAAACTTATATTGAGCATACTTTTCACTGTTGGAGATGCATAATTAGAGGGTTATAGAACACAGTTATTTGTTTTTCCAAGTAATCTTATGTGATTTTTGACATGCGTTGGGTAAGTTATACACATACTTAAGTATACACTTTTTAAAAAAAATTGATTTTTAGTTTTCAGCAGCATTCACTTCCTTAAGATTTTGAGTTTTAAATTTTCTCCTTCCCCAAGATGGCATGTAATCTGATATAGGTTCTACATATACATTCGTTCTAAATATTTTCACATTAGTCATGTTATAAAGAAGAATTAGAACCAATGAGAGGAACCGCGAGAAAGAAGAAACAAAACAAAAAAAGAGAGCAAATAGTATGCTTCCATCTGCATTCAGACTCCAAAGTTCTTTTCTCTGGATGTGGATAGCATTTTCCGTCATGAGTCTTTTGGAGTATGTACACACTTTTAAAGCATATATATGCATTTAAAGTGGCATTTTGCTTTAGCAGCTTAAAGTCATTTTTATACTTAAAGGGTAAACACATTAGGATATTGTATTCTCTCCATTAGTCATGATATGATTGTATAATTTCTCTTCCTTTCATATATCTTCTTCGTCAAGGATGCCCTTGAGGGCAGGTTTAGATGATTCTTGTAAAACTTCCATAGCGATGGAAAAGACATATAGGTTGGTAGCTATTGGTGTTTTCTTGCTTCCATTTTTTTTGATAAAACATCTATGTTGTTTCTATTTTATCCTACTACCAAAAATTCTGCCATAAATATTTTGGTGTTTTTGAGACCGTTTTCTCTTTGACCTCCTTAAGGTATATACTTAATAGTAGAATCTCTAGGTCACACTCACATTTTGGTCCTTTTCTTAACATAATTTCTGATTGCTTGTATAGGATGGTTCAGTTAATTTCATAGCTCCATCAGCAGTGTATTAGTGTGCTTGTCATTCCCCAACTCTCCTAACATCTAGCATTGACTGTTTGCATGTTTTGTACTTTCGCCAGTTTTGTTAAAAGATTTACATAGCTGTATTACACAAAATTGCATTAAAACCTGAAAGCAATTGAAATGCAGTGATAGGCTGATGATAAAAGTTTGGTGCATTATTAATATAATGGAATAGTGTAATGTAAGTAGTATCAACAAATATGAGGAATATTAAGAAAATGGGAAGTAAGAGGAGAATACTGTCATACATACTGTTTACTTTTCAGAGAAGAAAAGTGAAGGAGGATGAATAAGTAAGGATCTTAGATGGGTACACTTGGAGACAAGAAATGTCATGTTATTTTGTGTTGAAATTAATCAAAATGTAAATAGTTACTAAATGTATGTAGTTGTTTTATTAGTATCCATTATTAGATTTGTAATAAAACTTAATAGAAAAAGGCAACAAATACTGTATAATCTCAACATATGACAAATTCTTTAAAAAATTCCCAATGGCCTTTTTTTTTTAATTTTTAGAAAGTCAGAGGACATTTACATAGATTTTTGAAGAAATATAAATATAGTTAATATTTAGTTATTAACTGTAGTTTCTGAGTTCAAAATTGTTAGCACAATTGTCAAAAAATTGTTAACCTGTCACCTACCAGCCCTTTACCCCCTTTAGCAGCTTGAATCTTTAAATTTCACTACCTTGAATTAGATTGTTTTCTTTACCTTTTTAAAACCACACCAACATAATTAGTAAGTTCGTTTTATTGGAAACTTTGCTTTAGTTGACAGCATTCCTGATTCTCAAAACTGGCCATCTCTTGAGCGATATTCAAAATTTGTGCTTCTTAGAGATCTTTTTTTAAGTGTTGCAGCTTTTAATATCTTTGTCTTACAACTAGCTGAAAGTCCTTTTGGTGATTTTAAAATTAAGTTTCAGTTTGAGGTAGAAAAAGTGTCTGTTTTGTAGTAAATTGGATTATTGTATTTACAAAATAGTCCCTCTCCTTGAGAAGGTGAAGTTGCACTTCTTTTGAAAGTACTGGAGCATTTAACCTAATGTGACTTTTTTTTTTTTTGGCTAGGCAATGGGGTTAAGTGACTGGCCCAGGGTCACACAGCTAGTAAGTGTTATGTGTCTGAGGCCGCATTTGAACTTGTGTCCTCCTGAATCCAAGGCGGGTGCTCTCTCCACTGCACCACCTCGCTGCCCCTTAATGTGACTTTTTTATGTATAGGTCATGATTAGAATTTTTTTAAAAAGATATTTTTAGTTTTATAAAAGAAAAAATCAGTTTGGAAGGAACTTTCTCAGGGTCACATCTATTGATTATCTTAGAGGCAGGATTTCAGTTCAGGTCTTTCCTGCGTGGGAAGTCCAATCTGTAATGCAAAATTGGACCTCTTCCCTGAAACTTCCCTGGGCTTTGATAGGCCACTTACACCATCATGTAGCTGGGTTCCAGGCTCGCAATTTAGGATTTCTTTTTAAAGACAAATGTAAGTTGCTAGAAAAGAAATAGCCATTATTAGTAAAAGAATAGATTATAAAGTAGTTATAACATTGAGGTTACTAATGCATTTTTATAGGAAGTTAAATTTATAGTTAAGGCAGGTGGGTGGCATGGTGGATACTATGCGTGTCTTGGAGTCAGAAAAATTCATCTTCCTGCTTTCAAATCTGGCCTCAGACACTTATTATCTATGTGATTTTGGGCAAGTCTGTTAACCTTGTTTGCCTCAGTTTCCTCATCTCTAACATGAACAGGAGAAATAAATAGTAAACTACTCCAGTATCTTTGCCAAGAACCCCAAAGGAGGTCAGGAAGAGTCAGATATGACTAAAAACAACAGAATAAAATTTATGATTGCATGTTTCAACTTTTAAATCTTAGGCTATGTTTCTTTCAGGTAATTATAGAAGAAATTTTATATATATTTACACATTTTAAAAAATCGTAGGAGAAGAAAAACACTTTATTTCATTGAATTTCACCACAGAGCATGAGTCTGCCTTGCCTAGAAAATTCTTTCATTAGAATTGAGTAGAATGTTTTGGATATGACAGCTTCCTGTTGAAAGTGTTTTTATATTTTGAAGGAAATTAGGAAAAGTATATGAAGAGTCTAGAAGTCTTAAAACATTTAAAAATGTTTATACTGCTCCTATTATTTCTGTTACATTTATACTAAAATCTGTCTTCCTAACATACTTATATTTTGATTTTTATATATGTATATATGCTTATTATTTTTTACCATGTAAATCATTGATTTAATCTTTAATATGATAGAAAAGAATACTTCATCCTTTTTTTTAAGTCTGTTGATTATTCATTATCTGATAGATTAGCCTATGACCAAGGTAGAACCTATCTTAGATAACTATGTTTACATGTCTCAAATAGAGACCACTTTTAATGAGCAACCAGAAGGTGTGATCAAGATATGACATTGTTCCTACTTGAGTTAACTTTTAAGTGAGTTGGTTAACCTTACTTGACTTCATTTTC